GAGTTTTAAAAAAAAAAAAAAAAAGAAGGAAGGAGGGCAGAACCTGGAAGTGCTTTCTGGCTGTTATCACCTTACAGTGTCCCTGTAGCGCACTCTACTGATAAAATCTAACATCACTCCAGCTGGCAAAAGAGAACTTTTACAGGGTCCAGCTCCAGTATCACAAAGCAGGGCAAAGAAGGGTGTATTTGGAGCACAGAGACAATAAGTCAATAACTGACACTGGGGTGAGGAAGACATGAAAGGAAACAAAGAGTTTGTTAGGAAAAGAGGCTGGGGGGACAAAGGTTTCTCTGTCTGTGTTGGGGAGGGGCATCAGCTGGAGCTCTGGGGAGAGAACTCTGTCCCCAGTTCTATTCAAAAAGAGGATGCAGTCACATAAATAAACACAGCTCAAGAAAGCCACATTGTTTAGCTTCCAAATGAACAGAAAATAAAATTTCTGGGCAAGTTCCCTCTTTCCACCCCTGGGAGTAAGTAGGAAGTGAGTTGAGATGCACTTCATTTTTCTTAAAGAGGCTTTCTCAGCTCCTTGTCTCCTGCTGATTCAGGCTACTCCCACTGTCTGCAGATTCAACATGCATTCATTCATTCAACAGCATTTTCTGTAGGCCTACTAGATGCAAAACACTGAGCCTGGGAGGCTGACTGTGGGCCTTAGCTAAGCCTGTCTACAGCTGTCTATGGCTGAGCCAGACTTGAGCAAGCACTGAGAGAGCAGGCCAACTCATGGACAAGAGAAATTGCAAGCAGTTAATATGGTTCAGGTTCAGATTTGCCACTATTTCTATGATGATTACATGAAAAAAGGCTTTGGAATCAAGTAAAATGGGATCTAATCTTGTCTTGGTTCTTTTCTAGCTATGTGACGTTAAGCAAGTTTCCTCAATACAAAATGGTTTGGGTAATATCTACCTCTCCCAATTGCTGGGAAAATTAGGGACAATGTCTACATAAGTATAATGCACAGACCTGCCAGGGCAGGTGCCCAGGCCCATCAGACAAAAGCCTAAGCCAAACCCAAGGTCTGACAAGATTCAGGAAGCAGACGTTTAAGCCAGTGGCCTGGCACCACTGAGTCCCATCAGCCCCGTTGTCACTGATGTTGTATCAATGATGCACTATTTGGAATGGGCTCCTAAGAAGCACCTTGTCCCACCTTATCACTGGACAGATCAGGACACTGAGCCCCAGAGAGGGCAGATTTTATTTTTCTGTCTGCTCAAGGCCATACAGCATGATGGTGGCTGAGCCAGCACTGGAACCTGGCCTCATGGCACTGAGCCATTTGACCATCTGGAAGACTAAAAATAATGTGCTTAAGAGTATGGGCTTTAGAGGAAGACAGATGGTTTGTGTCCTGGCTCTGCACCTCTCATTCATTCAGAAAATATTTACTGAGTGCCAGGTACCATGCTCAGTGGAACCCACGGGAACCAGACCCACATGACCCCGGCTCTCTCATAGTCTGCTGGGGGAGGCAGTGAATAACCAAGCAGTAAATGAGGAGGCTAATCACCACTGTAGAAAACAACAAGGGATATCCATAGGGTGGGGCCCTGAGAGTGACAGGGACAGAAGTGCAGGAGAGTCACCCAGGGCAAAGAGACACCATCTCAGCTGGACCTGAATGCCACCAAACAGTAGCCATGGAGAGACTGGTAAAAGGCATCCAAAGAGCTCAGAGTGACGAGGAGAGGAAATGGGCCAGAGTGAGCACAGGAGTAGGCAGGAGGGACCCGGGCAGAGAAGGGCAAAGGCCACATCAGGCAGGACTTCAGAGGTCATGGCCAGGAGCTCAGCTTTCACTCACAGGGCAATGGAGGTCACTGGGGAGTCTGAGCAGCTGAATAATGGGATCTGGCTTACTTTTTTCAAACAATCACTCTGGCTGTTGCTGTTGGTGCAACACTTGATGGCTCTGTGACCTCAGGCAAGTTGCTTAAGCTCCCTAAACCTCAATCTCCTAGTCTATAAAGTGGGGGTAATAGTAGCTACCTCACAGACTCCCCTGGAGCCTGACCTGACAATCCACACGGCATGCTTCACAACATGCCCACACATTGTAAGTGCCAAAGAGAGCTTTGCTTTTTTACATCACCATGTCCAAAGCCCTCTCTTCCACCGACAAGACATAGCTTGGCCTGAACCTGTTGAAACCATGGGTCCTTCCCATTCCATCACAGACCAGCCTCCCACTGCCCTGGCAGCACCACAGCCCATGGTTTCTTCTTCTCCCATTTCTCAGATGAGGTACTGAAGGTCAAGACTGGCCTCAGTGCCCCTGCTAGGAGGAGGCCCTCAGACAGAGCCTTGGACCTCGGAGCCCCTGCTCTCTCCACCACATGGCAAGGTAGGGTCTGCCTATACACACCATTATTTCTGCACTGCCCTCAGCCATGGGGGTATCTATTAAGCTCCTGTCCATCAGAAAGCAGCCTGGGGAGGCTAGCAGAAACCCTGTGACAGGGAGCTGCCAGGCCCTGCTCTCAATTAGGGCCTTGTAAATGGCCTTATCATCCATCAAAGTCCCAGCTCCATTTCTGGGTGCCCAGGATGTATCACATGTCCCAATCAGGGGCCAGTAGAGAGGTCATGAGAAGTAATAATTGCCTTGGCAGGTTCCTATGGCCATACTATTATGACATAAAGAAGAAAATTTAGATCCTGGCAATAACAGGCAGCTGGCCCATCTGCACTTGTAGAAATCCTACTTACTGTGGTCTGAACTTCTACCCCACACCTGCTCAGCCCATAGCCCTGGGCAGAACCAGGCTGGACCATTTGTCTTCTTGTGCTCCAGGCTGCCTTGTCCAAGAGGCCACCCACCACCTCTGACACATTTCAGAGCATTTGAAAATCAGTACCCATTTGGGTATTGATCACCCAATCAGATCACCCATTTGGTGTGCATCAAGGGGTCTTCCAGCTTTCAGCACCACCCAGGCTGGACACGGAGCAGAGCAGTTAAAGGCCCAGTCTTTGGAGTCAGCCTAACATGGGTTCAAGTTCAACTCTCGGCTCTGCCACATAATGGGTGTGACTTTGGGTTAGTAAACCACCTCCCTGAGCCTCCATTTCTTCCTCTAAAATGAAGTGGTGGTAACCTGAACTTGAAGAGCTATTGTACAGATTAAGAAAGATAAAAAGGGTATAGATGCTAAATGAAAAACAACAGTGATCATTTTTATTATCCAGGGACTTCGGTATTATGAGATGACATTTATGGAGGGCCAATAACACCACCAGGGACTAAGCTAGTTCTTTTGAAACATCTTATCTCTGGATTTCACAGCCAATCCTACAAGTAGGTAGTACTGATTTTCTACATCAGGAAACAGAGTGATTTGGAGACTTCGGCAAAGTCACCAGCTGATGGGATGTGGAGCTGGGGGTGGGACCTTGGCCTGTTGGTTCTGGAGCTGATGCTCCTCCTAATACACAACCTTCCCGGCTCCTCTGAAAGGCCATGTAAGGCCACTGGTCAGACAGACAGCAGACCCATACTCCCCTCTTCCTTCCTTCTCTCATGCCAACATTTCACTAGCACCAGCTCCAAGACCAGCCCCTTGCTAAGTGATGCATACAATAAGATGAACACAAACACTTCCCACCCTTGAGGAGCTCAACTCCTGACGGGGCAAAGAGTGAAGCTGCGTCCACACTGCCCAGAACACATATGTATCAGTTAGCTTTTGATGCCTAACAAATGACCCCAAAACTTACTGGCTTAATAGAAAATATAATTTACTCTCTCTTCTAGATTTGAGTGTCAGCTGGGCAGTTTCTGCTAAGCTTAACTATATGGTTACACTCACCTGACAGGTGGGCCAGGCTGGAAGGCCCACGATGGCATCATTTGCAGGTTTGGCAGGTGGTATTGGCCGTTCAGAGGTGTGTTAGTTCTTCTCCATGGGCCTTCAAATTTTCCAGTAAGCTAGACAGGCTTCTTTGCATGGCAGAGTTACTTCTAAGAGGGTGAAAGCTAGAATGCCCCTTGAAGCCTAAGCTCTAGACATCACTAAGATGCTTGGTATCACCTTCTACTACATTCTATTGATCAAAGCAAGTCATATTCTATTGCTTGGACAGCATCTGGCATATATTTGTGACCCATCAGGCAAGGCTTAGCAATCAGTTCAGAAAGAGTGCAAGAGGGTCAGTCTGTGCCTAGCTGAGTGGGATCCTAACTGGCTGACAAATTTTTAATTCAGATTAAAGGATGTTGGTTGTGAGGTCATTAGAATGGGTCCTATCCTTTAACCAATGGAGAAACCAAGGCTCAGAGAGTCGGCCAGTTTGTGAACAGAATTAGTATACAAAGAGCCAGTTTTCCTGTGAAGGAACTCATGTCCAGAAACAGGAAGCGTCTTACCTGGGATCACACAGCAAGTTTGTGACAGGAGTGACTCAGGTCCCTACCACCCGCCTACCCCTCCCACTCCACCCCTTGAGAAATGACTGGGATGATCACCCCAGTAGGGGCATGGCCTCGCCTCTGCTGTTTGAAAACAACTCTTTCAGCACACCTAGCAGCCAGAAAAGCACTAAATCATGACCTCATCTGATCCTAACAGGACTGAACCCATTTTATAGATGGGAAACTGAGGCCCAGAGAGGGCAGCTGACTCTCCCAGCTGATGGGGCCCATCTGCCTGACACCACAGCCTGGCCTCTCATGCTGGGTCCCTGACCCAGGCTCCCAGGAGGTGAGAGGCAGCTCTGTGGCCCTCAGGAACCTCAGGATAAAGCCCTGCCTGAGGAAGTGCATCCCAGAAGGCCTGGGGAGGCAGCAATAGCCAGGTCTCTTGGAACCACCTCCATATGGGAAGGCCCCTGAGCAATGCTCTGGTCCCCATCTGGCCAGTTTATGGATGGAAAAACCCAAGCCGGACAGAACCCAGGCCTCTGACTCCCAGTCCAGGGCCTTTGCACCATACTGGGAGTCTGGGGCAGGCAAGCAGGCCCCACTCAGGCTGGTCAGACACACACAAGGCAGCTCTGTGGCATTCAGAGAGCATGTTTATTTACAAAGCACTTTACAAACATCAGCTTATGCCTCCCCACAGCCCCCTGCGAGGTAGGTCAGTAGTCATATCTACAGTTTATAGATGGGGAAATTGAGGCACAGAATGGGGGTGTGGCCTGCCCCATTTAAAAGAGATCTTCCCACCCACCCATCGAAAAATAACAAAATAAAGAAGTATTAATCCTCCATCCCAAAATACACGTTCCTCTGAATTCTAGGGGTTGCCAGCACCGCTGATCTAGCAATTCCCTATCCACACCGGGCAGCCTAATCAGGAGCCACAGGGACCTCAACCCCAAGGGCTATCATTCAACGTTGCAGATTATCACTGGCCCAGGCTGAGCAGGACCTGCCAGTGAGACCTCAAAGTTACAGGAAGTGAGGGCTGAAGTGACTTCATTCTGTAGACATTGTGTCAGGCAAGGGAGGGATGGGCAGATCCTGGTCCAGGGAGGCTCAGAGCACACATCAGTGAAGCAGAAGTGGGAGAGATCATAACAAAATAGCCCTGGGTGCGGAAGGGGGTCAGCAGGGTGGAGGACAGGGCGTAGTTACCCCTGGGGATGACCAGTCTGATGTGTCCACTGACAAATCACAGCAGAGCCCAATCCCCCCATGGGCTGGGCCAGATGGGTCTCTAGATGCCAAGCCCCAGTGCACTCTCCGCCCATGTCCAGAGGGAGCCACGCTTGGTAGAAACCTTGGCCTGGCACACACTCTGCAAGGCCTCACTCCTCTCTGCCAAGGGCTGGGACAGAGTCAAAGGGATTGGGCATTGGTCCTCCAGAGTGGCAGTTTTGAGCCCCCGTTACCCTGCCAGGCAGTGCCAGGCCTCCCAGCACAGGGCTGCAGGACCCCATGGAGGTAGGCTGGGCTGCAGTCTTGCTAAACTCCTCCTTGGCCTACAGGCTGCCCCGGCACACAGTGAGAGGCCCTGCCCACAGCGGAAGGGGGTACCCGGGTGGTCAGTGCCCACTCCAGCGCTCTCCCTGTGGGAGCTGTGGTGGAGCAGAGTTGGGGCGCAGGTCTTCCTCATCAGTCCAGGATGGTAGGCCTGGCCCTGAGTGCACAGTGGGTGTCCCAGGCCAGAGGCCCCTGCTATCTTGACTCCAGCCCCTCCAAGTACTCCAGGGCCACATCATAGCAAAAGTGGTATTGATCCTGGGGAGAGGGAGAGAAGGAATCACCAACCTGGTCCCTCTCTAGTAGTGGGGATGGAGAGTGGGGAGAGAGAGGGCAAGCATGAGCTACCACCGCCCTCTCTGGGGATAAGTGGGAAACAGGATAACTGTTCTGACACCACAGGATCAGAAACCAAAGCCCAATTGTGGGGGCAGGTATGAGAGACTGGGTGCTGAGGGCATGGACCTGGAAGTTGGAAATGGCTGGGCACGGGACACGGCCCCTTACCAGGGTCTCCACCATATTGGGCTTGTAGTTCCTAAGCGTTTTGGCAGCAAAGAAAACGTCCACCAGGCTGTGGCAGCGAATCATCTCCAGAACCGTGGCGCAGGCGCAGAAGGTGCCGCTGCGGCCACCCCCGTTTCTAAATGAGATACAAAAGATTTGGGGCGGGGCTCAGAAGGGGCCAGGGGGTGCCTGGGGCCCAAAACCAAAGGTGAAGGACAGGGCCGGGAACCCAAAGAGAGGAGGGTCAGGGTCAGGACGCCCAGAGGTGAGGGGCGGGGCCAGGGAACCCAGATGAAGGGGTCAGGGAGCCCGGCAGGTTGACTGAGCGGAGTCAGACACGGACGCGCATTCAAAGCCTGTAGGCCTCTAGGAAGATGGAGCCTCCAGGACAGAGTCAGCAGATTCTGAGAAAGGAGGCTAGACACGCTCTAAGAGAGACACTGAGGGCGGCGGAGCAGCAAGCAAAACCCGGAGAGCAGGATGGAAAATGAACACTGAGGACACCAGTCACCCTCTTGCCCCCACCTCTCCCCACCCCCAACCCCAGACACACACGGAGACCTTCCCACGCCCCACCGCCTCCCTTTTCTGCTCGCTGTGCCTTTGGGGAGTGGCCCCTCTTGGGGCATAGGCTCTCAAACTCAGCAGCCTATCCCTGCACCCAGTATGCTCAGGCCAGCACAGAGAAGGGTCAGTGCTGAAAGCATGAAAAAGGAGGGGGTCGGGGGTTAAAGGAGTGACTGCACCCAGACAGGAGTGAATAAATGAACTTATTAATGGGGACATGTGAATGAATGAATGAATGAATGGAAAAAGTTGCACACATGCATGAACAAAGACTGGAATTCTGCTGGCTTTCAAAGTCTAGCATGATTTCATAGGGTAAACAATTCTGATAGGACTCTTCTCGTGAAATGGGCAAAGTCAAACATCACACAGAGGTTACTAGGCAGTTGTTCAGCTTTGAGTCTATGCCCTGCAAACCGGGCAACTCCAGGGAAGACAGGGCCAGCCTTGCCTGGATGGGCAGAGTCCAGGCCATGGCCATCTGGGAGCCCAGGGGTTGTGGTGCCAGCCTTGAGGCCCTCTCAGACTGGGCCTCTGCTCCAGGCCCCATGGCTCCCCGACCTCTCCTCCCACCCCACAGCAGGGCCAGCACTCACAGGCAGTGCACAACAGTGCGCCCATCCCCACTCTCCGCTTGCCACTTGTCCACCTCGGCCAGCAGGTGCAGGAAGGCCTTCTTGGAGTCAGGCGTGTCACGGTAAGCAGACCAGCGCAGGAACTGGAAGTGCCGCACCAGCAGGTGCCCCTCCTGCAGCTGGGGATGCAGCCAGCCAGCCAGGGGACATGAGCCCAGGGGTTACAAGGCCCCCTGGTGACCTCAAAAGGGCCATCACAGGCCACACCTGCCACCACTCAGGTTCTCACCCCAGGGCTCCCGGAACACTCACCCGAGAGATGTTCTGCACCCGGAAGACACGGGCCACCAAGTCTTCATCCGCTGAACCAGACACGAACTCTACTTCCATAAGGCCATACTGCTGCCGGCCCGGCTCTGGCCAGTACTGCAGGCATGGCTGGGAGCATGTGCAGGCAGTGGAGGGCTGAGCAGAGCTGGATGAGGTCATACCAACCCCCAGGTCTCCCCAACTCGCTCTGGGGACCCCACGCACCCTGGGTCACCCACCCACTCAAGACTCCCTTCAGAGGCCCCCCCCTACTCTTCACCAGTCGCCCGTCAAACTGCGGTGCACACCTGCCCTAACACTCAGGCCAGCAGAGACAAACTCTGTGTAGTCAGTGCACTACTCCCTGCCACGCCTATCCAACTATAACACACTCATATACATTCACACACACACCTACGTGAGGCTATGTTTTTCCAGGGATAGGCCTCCTGGCTAAGACATCCAGAGCCCCAGTTTCTAGTCTCAGCCCTGCCTGGAGCCCAGGCCAGCCTTTTCCTTTCTCTGGGCAACAGTTTCTCCATCTGCAAAATGGCCCCCAAGCTCCTCCTTCATCTGCTTTCCTTTCTGACCATGCCCAGGAGGCAGGGATACTACCTTCCTTTTTTGCCTAGGGTACTGGCAACTCCTTGCCTTCAGGCCTTTGCACATGCTGCACTCTCTCCGTAGATAACTCATTGCCCACTTCTCCATCTAGTTAATGCTATTGTCCTACACAGCTCAGCTCAGACACTAGCTCCCACAGGACACCCTTCTGCGGCCCTGTGCCAGCTCCATGATAGCCCTCTCCCTCTGTGCTTTCACTGTTGGTTTTTGTACTTCCCAAGGGCCTATATGATCTGGTAGGGGCTGTGTGTTCTCCCTGACTCCCCACTTCCCACTGCCTGGCCTGGCAGGAGTGGACAGTGGGAAAAGATGGTTGAATGAATGAGCAAATGGGTGCCCAGTGAATGATGTCCTGTGAGCCTCTGTCTGGGTTCCTCCCCTCTACCTAAGCAAAGGTGGGTTCTTGCCACACAGGCATCCCTCCAGATTCCAGCCCAGGGGCTAGAGCCATTGCCCTGAAGTCCTAGGTTCATTTATACCAAGTGCCTGACTCATAAAAAGCCCAGTTAACATGTCTTCTCTAGCATATAAGGGGCTGGCTGTCATGCTCATTTTACAGCGAATTCTCCTGTCCTCCTGGAACAGGGAGCTGGGGAAGACTATGAGGCTCAGAGATCCAGGGGTGGGGCTGCAAGGCTGAACATCTGCACTTCCTGGGAGCTCCAGCTTTGGGAGCCCCAAAAGGAAATGGGGGCAATACGTCTGGCTATCTCCAGGCTGATGTCACTGAGCCAGCATCTGGACCAACCTCAGAAGTGATTGTCACCCTCATCATCTTTATGCCTGCCATGTACTGAGTGCCTACTATGTGTTAGGCATGGCACAGTGCTAAGCATCCTACATACATCTCACGTGGTGCTGACAATGACTTTATGAGAACAGGTGCTGTGATGGTCCCCATTTTACAGAAAGGAAACTGAGGCCCAAAGCGGTAGGTTAACTTGCCCTAGATCAAACAGAAGAAGACTGGAAATTTACTCTGTCTCAAAGGCCCCCATGATGGGCAGTTTACTCCAGAGGCTCTGTAAGGAGGCAGCCCAGGGTAGGGGGCACAGCCCACTTCTGTGACCTTAGAGAAGTCACTGCACCTTTCTGGGTCTTAGTTTTCTCACCTGAAACCCATAAGTGCAAAGCAGAGTCCCTGGCATACAGAAGGTGCTCAGTAAAGAGCAGCTATTTTTCTCCAGTCTGGCAGCTCATTTTACAGATGAGGAAACCAAGGCTCTGGGAGGGGATGTGACCCGACTAAGGCCACTCAGTAAATAGGTGGCAGAGCTGGGATCCAACCCTGGACTCTTGGGACGTGTGCATGAACATGCTGAGGGCCTGGGTAGCAGGCAGCCAGCCTTCCTGGCCCGCAGAAGCCTCACCCAGGCAGTGTTGGACTGGTGCAGCTGGTTGAGCATGACAACAGAGGTGCACCCGTAATCGTAGACCAGCCGCCAGAAGTCCGCTGTGGTGCTCTGCAGTGGGTGCAAGGTCACGATGAAGGCCGCGCTCTGTGTGTAGCTCTGCAGGGAAACCAGGGCTCAGCAGGACGGGTTCTCCAGCCCTGGCATGGCCTGAGCCCCTGCCACAGGCTTCCTCCTGCCCTACCCACCCTGAGCTGGGCAGCTCTGCCCCACAGGGCCAGGCTGCCTCTGGTGGCCCATTTCAGAGGTTGTGCAGCACACTGAGGCCTGAGTAGACAGGGCGAGCCCCCAGGCCTCTAGTGTCCAAGCCCACAGCCCCTGGGAACTAAGTAGCAAAAGCTTCCCAAATGTGTGATGATGGGAACTTGGACATGGTAGGCAGAGACTGGCCAAGCTTGCTCCCTGCCTCAGGGCCTCTGCATCTGCTATTCCCATCACCTGGAACAAATTTCCAAATATTTACATAATTAGTTCTGTCCCTCACTTGTTTCTGGTCTTTGCTTAACTATTACCTCCTCAAAGAGGACCCTCTTACCATCTCATCAAAAATAGCCACACACCTCCAAAACCCACATAAAATACTTCTGCCTAGCTGTTTTTTGTAGAAATTACTAGCATCTGACATTCCCTTGTATGTTTGTTTATTGACTGACCCAATCCATCCCCCAAATGCAAGGTTCAGGAAAGCAGAGATTTCGGGGTATAGCCTGTGCCCCACACATTGTGGGAGTTCAATAAATATTTTTGGATAAATAAACCTCTGAGTCCCTTCCAACGTGATGGATGAAGGCTCTGAGACCCCAACCCAGAGTCCCAGGTTGGTGGCAAGCACTGACTCTGCTCCCCACTCCCCACCTCATGCTGCCAGGTGGACTGGCACCCAGCCTTCCCCTCCCCACCCCCCAACCCCCGCCCAGTGCTTGCTGCCCAAGTCTCCCCCTGGTGCCCAGCCTTGCCCCACCCATCCATGCCCCCTCCCTCTCCTGCTGCTCTTCTCATATAACCCCCTCCCCAGGACCTTCTGAAGGCTCACTGGGTGGCAGCTCCTCAAGGCCAGGCCCATCCAGACTCCAAATCTCAGGCCTGGGTGGCCAATGGGGCTCCTTGCAGACCAGACCACCCCAGACCCCAGCTGGCCCCAGAACATTCCCACTGCAACCCAGAATTGGGGCCTCCTGGCTCCTGGGCTTCTGGCTGCATGGCTGAGATCCAGTGTGTAACAGGGGCCCCAGCTTCTGCACCTGACAGGCCCTTTCCCACCCGGGGACAAGGATCCCCTGCATGACCCTCCTCAGCTCACAGACTCTCACAGCTCAGACAGCCTCCTCTCCAGCTCCCATCCATGTGCACATGGGCGCACTGAAGCCAAAGAGTGGGCTGGGAGGGACATCACAGACTCCTAGTTCCCATCCAAAACCCTCCAGCACCCAAGCCTCCTCTGCAGGACCCTGTGCCCTCAGCAGGGCCACGCCCACCTACACTCACACACATTCCCCCAAGCTGAGTGACAGTGACTGTGGACCCCTCTCCCGTTGCTCCCTTCATTGGCCGGGGCTGCTCCCCTCCTTGCCTTCAGCTCTCACCAGAAAGCCTCAGGGGAGCAAGCATGGGACCCCTCCCTCTTTAGAGAAACCCACTGTGCCCTGTCCTGCCCTGCCAAGGGGCTTTTGGCCAGGAGTCAGGCTGACTGAGTAAGAGTAAGGCCCATCTCCCTCATCCCTGCCTTGGGGGAGCCGCCCCTCCCATATCTCCTTCCCATGTTGGGGGCTGTCCAGTGGCGGCCCACCTTCATTCCCCCCTCCCATGGGTAGTTCTGGACGAGAACCGAGAACCGAGCTGGCTCATCGTGACCCCTTCCCCCCTTTGCAGGCCGGCCTGTCCTCAGAAGCTGTGCATTCTTTCCCATATCTCCTTCCCATGTTGGGGGCTGTCCAGTGGCGGCCCACCTTCATTCCCCCCTCCCATGGGTAGTTCTGGACGAGAACCGAGAACCGAGCTGGCTCATCGTGACCCCTTCCCCCCTTTGCAGGCCGGCCTGTCCTCAGAAGCTGTGCATTCTAACTGCTCCTGCTCCCTGCCGCACGGAAAGGCCTGTCCCTGGTGGGGAGGCAGTGGCCTGTCCTTGCACAGCTCTATCCAGAAGGACAAGTCTGCCTGACTGAGGGACAATGGAGTAGCCAGTTCACTTAACCACATATGTAAAGTCATATTCTCCAGTTTTTTCAGTTTTTTTTTTGAAAGGCAACATTTTGATCTCCACCTTTTTTAAAGGTAACATATTTGATCCTGTACCCATCTCTCAACTGGTTCCAATTTAGCAGAGAAATAGGGGTGCTACTCACAGCCTCTCCCCATCAGACAGCAGCATCTTGGAGCTATTTATTGGGCCCTAGAGTCCCTGTTCTGTTTGCAATACCAATAAATGAGGTGGAGCCCCCAGGATGGGAAAGAGAAGGGGGGCTTCTCAATGACTCCTGAGCTCTCGAACCACAGCCAGGGTAGGGCCGGGGAACAAGCCACCATCTCACCCTGGGTTCAGGGGCAGGCTCCAGCTTGCTCGCCCCAGGAGAAAGTTCCCTGGCTCCAGACATTAGGTTTCGAGTCCCACCTTCACTCTGGGCCACTCTAGCCACAGCCCATGCACCACGCATCCTATCCTGGAGCCAGCTCTGCCTGAACCTCACCATCCAGACGCCCACTCAGGCCAAAGGTAACACTTGAAGGGGTGCACTGGCTTAAATATGCTGCATGGAAGACCAACCGAGGGCAGGAGGGTCACCCCATGGGCCTGGTCCCCAGAATGGGCAAATGGTCCCCCAACCAGAGCCCTCGGCTCGGCCCCTTGGCTCATGGACCTTCCCAGAGGCTGCTGGGTGAGGGAGTCCCAGAGCCCACCCATGCCCCAAGCCCTCACGTCAGTCAGGGCAGCATTGATGTAGTTGTTGGGGTCCCCATCGGTGGAGATGAGGAAGGGCAGGCAGCGGTCAGGTGGCAGGACGTCCATGCTGCGGTTCTTGTCTCGGTTCCGTGGCAGCAGGGCAACACTGCACTCCTCCACATCCAGGGGTGGTGTGACTGAGTTTAGGGTCTATGAGGAATGGGGAGAGGAGTGGGCTGACATCCCATGTCTGCTGGGCCTCCTCACAGCCCGACGAAGGAAGGAGACTGGGCTACTAACCCCATTTTATGGATGGAGAAACTGAGGTTCAGAGAGAAGTCAGAGAGGGCAGGGACCCAGGGTCCCTGTCTCCGGATCATGCAAGGCCTGGACAGAACTCTGGAAACTGGAGGCCGCCTCCTCACTCCCCATGTAACCTGAGGCAAGCTCTACCTCTCAGCCGCATTCTTCCTCAACTGTAAAATGGGATAATAATATGCCTACTTCAAGGGGCTGTTGGGAGGATAAAGTGAGGTAATGCCGTGCACTGAGCACTGAGCCTGGCATGTGCAGGGCTCCACACACAGAAGGTGCGGTGGGGATCATACTAGTTTATTAGGTGCTTTCAGGGAGAGCACCCTGAAAACCCCCATTCTTCCTCACAGCAGGCTCCATGGACCTGGCAGAGGCGGTCACTTTCCTCAGTCATGGCCCTGCGCAAACAGGACCCAGTCCGGTGCAGCTGGCCCCACAGCAAGCCAGTGACTCGGGGTAATTTCCTCCACATTCTTGCCTCTTGCCTTCATGCTTCCTGCATCTGAGTCAGGGGTCTCAGTTTCTTTCTTTTGTCCTTGGGGATCCCTAACAGGGAACCCCAGTCTCTTATGATCCCCAGAGCCCAACACCCTTCTCCAGGAATCGCAGGCATTTCCTGTGACATCACTCTGTGCCAGGTACCCAGCAGGTGCCATCTGACTGAAGCCTCACAGGAACCTGGGGTGGAGAGGACACGTGGGGTCTCTGCTGGCCACGGACCACTCCCAAACTTCTCTAACGAACCAGCCTTCCCCCATCTCAGTCATGTGACATGATAAGACTGGCCCCGCCCCCAGAGCTAGGCCTGGGCCAATCAGTGTGCTCCATCACTCTGGCCCCAGTGCCCCACTCAGGGATGGACACATGAGAACCTGGTCTAGGACTTTCGTTGGGGCTGTTGGGAGCCCTAAGTGTCTTTTTACAGTCTCCTGACAGTAGAGCTGTCATGAGCCTGGTACTGCTGAAGGCTAGAATGTTGGTCTGAGAATGAAACCCAAACCCAAAACAGCGGAGAGCAGAAACTTCAACAGAGACTAAGTCCTGGCACCATCATTTGAGCTGCTGGATCCAGCCATAACTGAAGCCATACCATATTCAGACCTTCGAAGTTACAAGAGCTATTGGACTGGATTTTTGTCACTTATAACCAAAGGAATCCTGATGAATACAAATCTACAAGGGTGACCTTAACAGTCTTTTTATTTCTGCATAAGAAAACTGAAGCTTGGAGAGGTAATGTGAGTGTACAAAGCTAGTCACAGTTCTTAACTGGGTAAGCCAGGATTTGAACCCACGTTTATCTAACTTCAAAGCCTGGGCTCTCAGCCACTTGGATGCACCACTTCCTCTAGTATCTCTAAGCCTTTCCTAGTAGCCAGACTCTGTCCCTGCTGCTTGGCCCTCAGTGACTCTTCCAGCACTCAGGAATTCCCAACACACACACACATGTACACTCACTCACACCTACATACCCATGCACACACACACTCATGCCCCACCTGGAACTCTTCCCGCAGCTGGGAGGAATTACTCTGTGGATCAATGCGGATCATCTCCTTGTAGGTGGCCTTGAACTCGCTGACAGGGATGGTGGTCTCCCCACACAGGCAGGCCTCCAGGATTGCATCGTGGATGAAGACATACTGCTCCTGGAACAGGAAGTAAGAATATAAGGAACCAGCAGGCAACCAGAAACTAGAGATTTGGGGGTTGGGGGAACAAGCTCAAGGCTGAGGCAGGGGTGCTGGAATCCAACCACATGGTACTACAGGTTGGACCAACCCTACTTGAAACAATCCCCATGTTTGACTCATATTTCATCCCTACAATAACCCTGTGAGAGGCTCTGAAGGTAAGGGGGCCACCAAGGGTCACACTTCTAGTGAAGATACAAATCCAGGTATGTCTTACTGCAAAACCTGTGACCTTGGCCTCATGCTGTTTGACCTCATTCACCTGAACACAGTGGAGCTGAGTTTGGAAAGACCCTAGGAGGTTAGCAGGCCAAGTCTGGGGATGAGAAAGAACAAGGGGAAATCCTGGGGCAAGGAAGAGCCTAAGGACATCCTTCCGACACACTCCACCAGCTGTGAGCTCCTCCAGGAGGGACACACATCCTGGAATAGGCAGCAGGGAGAGGGCTGTCCCCGACCTCAGTCTGGATCATGTTGACGCGCCGGGAGCAGAGGGTCTTCACGCAGTTGTAAATGTCCACAACGCCCTCACATTCTGCCATGTCCAGCATCACATCCAGAACGATATAGCAACCTGTGCGGCCAGTGCCCGCGCTGGGGAGAAAGCAGCCCCAAGCCAGGTCAGAGCCTTGGGGTGGGAGCTCCAGACCAAGGAGAGGAGATGAGGGGTCTTAGGGCACCTGGCCATGTCTACACCACACAAGGGATGGAGGACACAGAGAGACTCCCCAACCCTGGGCCAGGGAGCCAGGCAGAAGGTGCTAGAAGAGTTCTGGTGAAACATGGCAGAGGACCAAGCTGGGGACAGGCCTTGAGAAGGAAAGGAGAGAGAGTAGGGAGAATGCAGAATGAAACTTAGCAACTTAGACTGGGGAGAGGGACAAAGGTGTTAATCAGAGCTTAATCCAAAAATGTTCTTGCCTCCTGGATTATCTCCTGTACATGCCTCAAAGCCCCACACACTCATACCCACTCACATACCAGTGGAGCCTCTCTAACCCTTCCTGCAGATGTCATTCTTTTAAGCTCCCCGAGAAATTTGGGCAGGCTTCTATTAAAACACCCTTCCTGCTATGTGATCATTGTGTGGCCGTCTCCCTAACCCAACCGGGACCTCGTGAGAGCTGGGCTCTGTCCCATCCATCTGTGGGATCCTCATGGTCTGCACTAGGTTGAGCAGAGCTGAGGAGCAGGGAGAAGAGAGCAAAGATGACACCAAGATTTCAAGCTTAAAAATGGTGGTGTCCAAGTGTTGGTGAGAACATACACCAATTCAGTCCCCCACACACTGCTACTGGGGACTTAAATTAGTACCGTCACTTTGGAAAACTGTTTAGCAGTATCTACTAAGGCCAAACGTTTGCACAGGCAGCAGTTCCACTCTTACATACACAGCCCATAGAAATGCCTGTGTATATCGGCCAAGAGACATGCAATAGATAATCCTTAGCAGCATTATTCATAATAACAGCTCAAATCTGGAAACAGCTCCATACCTATCAACAGCACAATGGATAAACACATGTGGTTTATTCACCCAGTGGAATATGATACAATGTGGATGAATCTTATGAACATAGACTGAGGGGAAAAAAATCAGACACCAAAGAGCAAGTGCTGTATGATCGATCCCCTTGTACAAAATACAAAACCACACAGAACGAATCTACAGTCTGGAAGTCAGGATAGTGACTGCTCTGGGAGTGGAGGGCGGGTACGGATGGGGGCTCAGGGGGGTTCTGGGTGCTGTGAGTGTTCTGTTTCTTGACCTGAGTGGTGCTGGTTGTTTCTCAGGTTTGGTTTGATTGGTGAAAACTCATAAAGTAAGATAACGCTTAACTATTTGTGTACTTTGCTGTAAGTGTATTATACACAAATGGAGTCGTATTTTTAAAAGACAGTGTCTCAAAAAGGCCTAAAGAAATCAAAGAGAAATGTTTTGGGGGTGGTAGGGCAGGGAGAGGAATGAGTCTGCCAAGTGGCATTTGGGGAGCTGGTAAGAATTCAAGTAGAGGAGCCAGACAGGTAAAGAAGCCAAGGGCTTGTGGGCTGGGACTCACTGAAGCCACAGGGTTAGAGGTTAAGCTCTCCAATGGGAGAGCTGGGGCAAGAACAGGACAGAGCACTGGGCCCCACTGAAAAGGCAAATGGGAGATAGATGTGCAAGGCAGGAGGCAAAGCAGAGAGAGGAAGGGCAGCTGGGGTCACAGGCACCAACCAGGCCAGGAGCTGGGACAGGAAGGAGTAGAGGTCAAGGGTTGCAGAGCTCGTGGAGGCCTAAGGGTGAGGAAAGTCCTCTGGGCTTGGGGAAGAGAAAGCCCTCCCAGCACTGGGCCACACTTAGCACACAGGTGTGCTGTGCATGCTTGCCAAATGGAAACAAACGAACGTGAACCTGCCTGGTGCCTCACCAACCCCTGACCCCCTCCACGCCCCCAGCACCATCTCGGCATCTAGGCCAAGGGCCTCCATGTGTCAGGGGCAGCACAGGAGAGTTCCAGCCTCAGCTCTGAGGGCAAAGGGCCCTCGGGGTCATTCTCTCCTGTCCTCTGTGTCCCTAAGCAGGAGGAGCTCAGGCCCAGGCTCCTTTGGGGACCTTGAACCAACCCCACGCCCAGTCCCTCTTCTCTTGGAATGTCCCATGCCCCACCTGCAGTGGATGACAATGGGCCCAGCACCAGGTGGGGTGGAGGCCTTCACACGCCGGATGAAGGCCAGCAGCCCTGTGGCATGGTAGGGGACGCCATGCTCTGGCCAAGCTGTGAAGTGGAACTGGCGGACCTCGTGCCGGGCAGAGTAGCCTCTCTGGAGAGACAACAGTAATGACAGTCAGAGTCACTGCTGGCATCTATTAGACACTTGCTGTGTGCCAGACACTGTGGTGAGCATCCGACCACAGGATCTCAATTAATCCTGGGTGTTAACGACTTACCATACAGACAGGAAAACCAGGGGTCAGAGGAGAAACCACTTGCCCATGGTTAGACAAAACACATACTAGGCAGGAGTTGGACTGGGGTCTGCCTGGGGTTAAAACTGTGCTACTAATCACCTATCTCTGCCACCAGGTGGCTGTGTAACCCCAGAGATCATTTTGACACTGGTCTTAGTCTAAAGGCGGAAAACTGTCTTTCCTTTGAAGATTTTAGAGGATCAAAGGAGATCACAGACAGGAGGACTTGGCTAATCCCTGGCCATGTGGCCTCTCATGAGCGACATAACTACTCAACCTCACTTTCCTAATCCGTAAAATGGGGCTAACGGTAAACGCCTAGCCCCAAAGAGCTTTCCAGGGCTTAAACAGTATGTGCAATGAGCTCAGCACAGTGTCCAGCGTCGAGCAGGACCAACACTGGGCAGGTACTGCCATTATCTTCAGTGTCTGACTTCCTCACAGAGTCGCCAGCCAAGGCATTAGCTTCCAGCCCCCACAGTGTTCTGGGTGGTTACCAAGCAGCTGCCTTGCTGCGGAGGCAGTGGTGCCATCCTCACCCCTCCTGTCCCTCAGCTGCACAGTTGGGGAAGTAGACTGTGCCCCACCTCCTCAGGCAGCCCTGGAGGGACCCGATGACGGTACTCACCCGCTCCAGGGCAAAGGTGCGCACGACATACTCAGCTAGAGTCTCCGTCTTCACCAGCGTGATCTTGATGTCCCCATACATGTCCGAGTCCTCTGGCCAGTACCGCGAGCATTTAACCTGGAGGCCCCACAGGGCAGGCTCAGTGGGCTCTTCACTGCCCCCTTGGCCCGCCACGTCCCCTTGGCCCCTTTGCCCTACTCACCCTGCCCACCTCCACCAGCTTGGTGATCATGACAATGCTGGAGCAGTGCTCCTGCCACACCATGCGCCAGAAATCGTAGACCATCTCGGGCTTCGGCCCTGGGGTCACAGAGGGCGTCTGTCCCTGAGGCAAGGTCTCCACCCAGGGCCAGCACACCCACTGCCCAATGAGGGCTCCGTGCTCACCCACACACACACCCAACAGCCAGCTCATGCCTGGGGGGCCCTGGATGTGGGCAGCACCAGGGAGGGCCTGGCTGCAGCCCCCCCAACAACCTGACTAGAGGGTCAGACGCTTGGTCCATGGGCCAAGTCTCCAGGAGAGATGCACAATGGACAGTTGGGGGAAAGACACAACCAGAAGGACCCATGCAGCCCAATTCAAGCCCAACCAAGAGGCACAATTCACGCCTCAGAGGACTGAGCACAGCTACCTCTTTTGCATGCATCACTTGGGAGACAGACAGATGGACTAGGAGCTACAGACAGACTGAGCACACCAGGGAGACATAAAGGGGAACAGACACTGATGGTTGGTTTCCAGGTGACCCAGCCAGAGAGCGGGACTCAGCCAGACAGAGAGAAGGGAGGCAGGCAGGGAGGCAGCAGATGGGCAGAGAAGGCAGAAAGGTGGCAGAGGGCATTCAGCACACAGGGCATAAGGGGCACATGGGCAGAGGTGCCAGGTACCTTGAGTGGCTATGAAGTGGTTTGACCTGTGGTAACCCTGAAACAGGAGAAGAGGACATAGTGAGACTCTAGGGAGCAGCCCCTCACTCCCTCTGACCCCCTGTGCCCTCCGCTCCCAGCAGCAGCACACACACCCCTCCCCAGGACCTCCTAACCAGGGTGACCCTGTCCTCCCAGGGAAGAGAAGCTGGGACACTACTGTTCCATCCTTGCTGCGTGACCCCAAGGACACAGCTCCTTTATGGGCCTAGGGGGTCTACTCATCCATAAATCTGGGTTAATTATCCAGTCAGCTTACAACTCGGCTGCTGTTTGGAGACAAATAGAGTCCAGGGTGCCTATATCGCCCCCAAAGCCCCGGAGGTCTTGATCAACCCCAGGCCCCAGGCTGGGTCTTACCAGCTATCTCAGCCCCACTCAAACTAACCACAAGGGGCAGTGCCCCCTCCCCACTGCCTCCACCATGCGGAGCATGGGGGACCCAGATGAAGGCTTTAGGTGGAAGGCAAATGAGCACATAGGTCACTCGTGGACCTCAGATAAAATGTTTTTCAAATCTTCAATATTAATAATAATCAATAATAGTAAATTTTTGAGACCCTGTCATGGTCATGTACTATGCTAAGCACTTTACCTATATTACCTCCCACAGAAAAGAGGCCAAGAGCTACTTCAGCTCTCATCCCCAGAGCCCTGAGGTGAAGAAGAGGGACTGACCAGACTCCACTCCCACCCTGGGGCCACAGCCGCCCACGCGTGGTACCCAGGGCAGCCACGCCAGCAGCATCAGGCAGTAAGGAGTCCTGCAGGGCCGATACAGGGGAAAAAAATCAAGCTCAAGCTTGGCCACTTGCCTCAAGTTGTATACCCTCGGCCCAGCTCCCCAGACCCAAGGAGACCTAGAGCCAGATTGCCTGGGTTCAAATCCCAGCTCCACCTGTTGCTAGCGGTGTGCCCTTAGGCAAATCCCTTCACTTCTCTATGCCTCGATTTTCACCTCTATAAAATGGGCATAATTATAGTATTTCCCCCATAGGGCTGTGGTGAATAAATAGAGCAACCTATGTCAAGGGTCTGGCCCTGTGGCATGCACAAACTCAGTATTTAGTCAGTAGTAGCTATTACTATCACTGCTACTTTAATGATCAAAGGGCGTCCCTGAAGATTCAAATATCAAGAATTCCAGAGGCAGATTATTATTAAATTTCTGGTTTACTGGAGGGCTCAGAATCTGAGTCTGGGAGTCAAGTTGCCCTGGGTCCCTATCTCAGCTCTGCCAGGTAGGAGCTGTGACTCCGGGCACCAAGACGGTGCTTCTTGGCTTTTACTGTGCACATGAATCCCATGGGGATCTTGTTAAAGGCAGATTCACATTCATAGGTCTGGGGTGGGGCCCCAGATTGTGCTTCCAGGCGGTACCAATGCTGGGCCTCAAAACACTCTTCGAGTAGCTGGTCTCCCAGCCTCTCTGAGCCTCTGTTCTCCTCTGTAGTATGAGGATAACAGGGAGATACACACCTCAGAGATTCTACTGATACCTACATACCACTCCACAAAAATGCCCAAACTAGTCAAAGTTCCGAATGATGAAAAGCCTCCCAGAGTCACTCAGCCCTCACTACTGGAACTTCCCTGGGTCTAGCCTAATTCTCTCCTGCTGCCTCCCCAGCCATCATGTTGGCTTCAAGTCCTCCACAGAGCTGTTGGATAACTGGGACCCGAGGGGAAGGCCCAGCAAAGGTGCTGCCAGCGCTCCCCTCTTACCCCCAGCACTGCTCAAGCTGGCAGCAGGCCCCTTCCCCTAAAATCCAGATTGCCTGAGAATCCCACACGAGAGCAAGGGTCTTCTGACTCATCCATCTCTGTCCCTCCAGGGCCCAGCACAGTGCCAGCACCCAATGCTAGCCAGTAAATACAGTAATAGCTGAAAGAGTTTTTAAACAGATAACCCTCAATATCTGCATATTAATTTTTTAATTGCATATGTGCATTATTGCATCATTATATAGGGTACCCTGCAATGGAAAGTTTAAAATGACCAGCTGTTAAAGGAAGGTAGGTAGAGCACCTTGAGCACACCCACATTAGAGACCAGCCCTAGTGTGCCCTAGTGCTTGCATGTCCTAGAGCCTGCTCCCGGGACACATCACCCCTCCAGGAGCCTCTGATTAGGTGTTGCTGGGGGACTAGCCATGTGCATCATGGGCAAGACACACTGGGCATCCTGATGCTCCCCAGAGGAAGAAGACCACAGTCCAGTGCGAGGGTGCTGGGCTCAGGCTGGGTTTGAGGCCCAGCTCCATGCAGCCGTGAGCAAGTCACCTCACTTCTCCAAGCCTCAGCCTCCTCATCTGCCAAATGCAGGTCCCTATGTGTGCCATAAGATGATATGATAAGCCTGAAGTGCCAGCACAGAGCAGGTACCCAGCCACTGACACTCTTGTTAACCCAGCATTTGAAGACATTTTAAACCAAGTCTTCTATGGGCATTTCCTCAGAGTCTGACAACAATGAACCAAATGGGTGGGATCAAGACGTCGAGCAAAACCACCTATATTCATCACCTCCTAACTGGGGTACTAGTGCTGGCCATCCACTGCATCTCATGGACCTAACAGTCCATTTAAATTTGAGAACTTTACAAACCAAGTGTTTAAGCACACTCAAAATAAGGGGGGACATCTGGGAACACATCTGGGATGACTGGCCATCTCTACAAGATGCAATTGTGGGAACCTTTCCCTTCCTATATTAGGTGTCTCCATGTTATCTGAAAATCTGATAATGAACTGTATTTTTGCAATCAAAAGAAAGCAAGGAATATATTTTTTAAAGAAAAAAAGGAGATAAAATAGAAAAGGTACCCACAAAATAGTAAATAATCCCATCAGGCATCAAATATGATGAAAATAATATACATTAAAAATTAAAACAGGACTGTTAGATGAATTGGGGTGTATTTTTTTTACTATATAGACTTAAATCTTGTTAACCCAGCATTTGAAGACATTTTAAACCAAGTCTTCTATGGGCATTTCCTCAGAGTCTGACAACAATGAACCAAATGGGTGGGATCAAGACGTCGAGCAAAACCACCTATATTCATCACCTCCTAACTGGGGTACTAGTGCTGGCCATCCACTGCATCTCATGGACCTAACAGTCCATTTAAATTTGAGAACTTTACAAACCAAGTGTTTAAGCACACTCAAAATAAGGGGGGACATCTGGGAACACATCTGGGATGACTGGCCATCTCTACAAGATGCAATTGTGGGAACCTTTCCCTTCCTATATTAGGTGTCTCCATGTTATCTGAAAATCTGATAATGAACTGTATTTTTGCAATCAAAAGAAAGCAAGGAATATATTTTTTAAAGAAAAAAAGGAGATAATAGAAAAGGTACCCACAAAATAGTAAATAATCCCATCAGGCATCAAATATGATGAAAATAATATACATTAAAAATTAAAACAGGACTGTTAGATGAATTGGGGTGTATTTTTTTTACTATATAGACTTAAAATGCCCAAAGATGGCACAGTTTTTAAAAAAGGAATACCCAAACTGCTCCCCCAAAATACAATATTCAAATCAGGGCTAAATAGAAGGCAAAGTTTAGGGTTAGGGCTGAGTTTCAAGCAAACCGATCACGAAGGGATTTAAACACCAGGGAAACTGTTCTAAGGGGACTGACCAGGGCTGTCCTTGCTTCCTTGAAGACCCTGACCCTCAAGAAGCAGAGACGGGGTGCCCAGAGCAGCCTCCCCCTGCCCATCTCTCCCAGGGCACCACAGAAGGTGTGGTAGTGAGGACTCATTGGGCATGGGGAGAATTGGGGGACAAAGGTGACAGAGGGTGGTGGCCAGTGCTAAATGGGGCTTGGGAAGCACCCCAACACTGCTGCCCATTTCAGAGCAGTGAGAATGGGATGAAATTCTTCCAACAGGGACAGTGTCGATCTTCAGCCCTGGGTGGCCCCCGGCCAGGCTGCTGAAATGGACTGTTGTTGTGGGCACACGAGTGGAGGGGAAGGAAGACAGAGAGAAAGAGAGAGAGAGAGAGAGAGAGAGAGAGAGAGAGAGAGAGAGAGAGAGAGCCAAAGACTGTGAGAGACTCTGAGATACAGCCGGTCAGACAGACAGGAGGAGGTGGAGACATGGAGAGATACTTACTTCACGGTTTATCCGAATCTTAATGGTTCCAGTGAGAGAACAGTACAAAGCAAAAGAGACAGATATTAGGCCAGAGGCGGATGAGGTGGAGGGAGCACAGGAGTGGCCAGAATGGGCGATGCCAGCAGGAGGCAGAGCAGAGACGTGTGGCCCAGGCTGGGCCAGGGAGGAGGGAGTGGCGTGTCCCTGCTAGGGCCCAAGGGGAAGCCCGACTGGGACACTGAGACCAAGGAGAGGCCCTCTGTCCCCAAAGCTGCCCAAGTCTGAGAGGCCAGGCCCCACCCACTCCCCAGCCAAGGGAGAGGAGGAAGGTGGGGGAGGAGGCAAGGAATTCTGGAAAATTCGGGGTGGCATGTCAGGCTCCCGGAAGGAGGTGAAAAGAGGGAGAGTAGAGGTCATTTTCAGAGTCCCTAATGACCCCACCTTCCAAATGCACGCCTTCCTCCTCCCACGTACCTCGGGCCTCTGTGCACGCTGCTCCCAGCTTGGGGGGTTCTCCTCTTCCCTCTCCAGCCTCCCAAAGCCAGCTCGACCCGCCTGCTCCCATGCAGCCTGCGCAGCTGACCCTAGCCCTACCACTCACTTGTTGGGTGACTCTAGGAAAGTCATTCCTCTTTTCCAACCTGTGTTTCCCCATCTAATCGGAAATTACAGGTGACCCTTAAGCAACATGAGTTAGAACTGCCGGGTCCACTCAGATGCAGATTATTTTCAATAATATATTGGAAAACTTTTTGCAACAACTTGAAAAAGCATTTTTTCTCCAGCTTATTTTATTGTAACAATATAGTTCATAACACATAGAACATACAAAATATGTGTTAATTGGCTGTTTATGTTATTGGTGAGGCTTCAGGTCAACTATAGGCTATTAGTAGTTAAGTTTTGGGGGAGTTTAAAGTTCTACACAAATTTTCGACCGAGTATAGGATCAATGTTCCTAACCCCCACGTTGGTCAAAGGTCAGCTGTATTTTACTTTTATGACTATTTATATGTCTTGCCCACTAGACTCCTTATGTTCAAGGAAAGCAGGAACCATGTCTGTCTTGTTTGCTGCTGTATCTCTGGTGCCCAGCACAATGCCTGGCACATAGTAAGTGCTCAAAATATATTTGATAAATGAATAAATGGTTCTTCCCCAAATTTGGCTTGCTGCAGGGTTGGGGAGTCTGACCAGGGTTCCTGGCCCTGTCTGTCTCACTTACACCCACACTTGGGGAGCAGACTCATCACCTCTTCATACCCAAGCCCAGGCCTCCTGGCTGCCTGCCTTGTCTCTGGCCCCTCCCGCTGGTCCAGCCAGACCCAGCTGCTGCAGTAGAGGGCAAAAGAGCTCACGGTTAGCAGCAAAGGTTTGGGAAACACAGACAGGCTGAGATTTGAGTCCGTTCTTGACTACTCACTAGCTGTGTGGCCTAGAACAAGTAGCTTCACCACTCTGAGCCCCTGTAAAGTGAGTCATGAGGCTAACTACCTGGTAGAGTGTAGGAATTATACAGAACTAAGTATTTAGTATAAAATGCTTAGCACAGTGCTTGGTACACAGTACATACTCATAAACATGAGTTATTATTCCTAAAGTACCACTCGGATAACAGTCAAACCACTTTTAACAACTCCCTGGTACCCCTAGGCAAAAGCCCAAACTCCTTAGCCTGCTGTTAAGTCCTTCCCAACCCAGTTCCTCCCTGCCTTCAGCCTCACTGTGCATCATGAGAGTACCACCTCCAAGCTTCTTGGCCCGTCACCTACAGGGGATCCTTGCTCACCTGTAGGCCTAGCTGTCCACCCTCTTCCCTTCGTCTTGCTCCAATGAAGCTCCCCATCTCCCAGGCCAACACCAGCTAGCAGGAAGCCTTCCTGATGGCTGCCGCCCACTCTGTCCACCCCTCCTCTGGGCTCTCCGGCACTTGACTGCAGGCGATGGGGTGCTCAGAGCCCAGCATTTGAGTCCCCATGTATTCCCTACCAGGTGCCCTGCCTGGACAGGGAGCAGGGGCAGGCAGGGAAGGTCAGCAGAGATGCCAGGACAGGGGCAGCACTCACATCCACGTAGTTGGCGTTAACATAGTCGGCATCAGGGTCTCCCAGCATCGGGTGGAGTTTCACTCGGTGCCGATCATCTGGAAACACAGAGCAGGGGGCCATGGGGTGGGCACGGGCTGAACTGAGAGCCCAGAGCTGGAACCATGGGGGAAGGCCTCCTGGAGGCCAGAGGCAGGGCACAGGCAGGTCAGCCAGGGACCCGAGAGGCTCAGGTCCATCAGCAGGCTCTGGGCACAGCGGGAGGCAGGCCAGGCCAGTGGCTCGGGTCTGAGCTGCAGTGTCAGAGAGGTCTGAGGCTATGTGCTGCTCAGGCAAGTATTAGCTGTGTGACCTGGACAGGGGGCTAAACTAGCAAGCCTAGTTTCCTCATCTGTAAAGTGGCAGTTACACTGTCCCATTTCACAGGGTTATTGGGAGGAGTAAGTGAGATACTGGGTGCAGTGCTTAAGCACACGGCCTGGCATGTGATACACGGCTCCCTCTAGCTGTTCTCTCCCTTCCTATCCCCTCCCACCTACTGTTCCAGACCCCAGGCCCTTCCCCAGGACTCACAGGCAGGCATGGGCTCCTGCCGGCCGCTCTTGCCCTTGTCTTTCTTCTTTGTGGCATCCCAGCCTTCAAAGAAGCTCTGCCAAAAGGGAAAGTTGTAGTCACTGGGACAGGGAAACCCCTCCACACGTAAGATCTCTTTCCCCTCAGTAGGATGGGGTGGGTAGGGCCAGGTTCAGGGTCACATTTAGGGCCTGAGATAAACTCACTGTACATCCTTTCATTAGTAAGGGACTAAGTTTAAAACCAAGCAGTGTTGGCGGAGGGAAGTGAGAAGATGGCAAAGAGGGTCAGAGTCCAGAGACATTTCAGAATAAGGATCAGATTTAAGGTGAATCCAGGTTTGAGTGAGGAAGAAGGGAAAGGCAAAGGTCAAATTAAGAGTAGGATAAGGGTGTCAGAATCCAGGTGGATGGAGGACGGGATTCGTGTCAGAGTTCAAACGGAACTTAGGATGAAAGTCAGGGTCAAAGTCAGGCTGGGCTGGGCTAGAGGTCAGGGTCAGTGCTGGTGTCAGGTTCATATAAGGGCTGTAGGGTAAGGGTCATCATCAGGGTCCATATGGAGAGATTGAGATAAGATTCAAGGTCAGATTTCAAGTCAGGGTTAGGATGAAAGTGAGAAACCAGATATGACTGAAACTAGAATCAAAGTCAAAGTAAAAAAAACTTTAGGTTGACTTGGGGACTATCAGAGCAAGGGTGCACCCAGGGCTGGCCCAGGGTTGCAGGGTTAGGGTCCAGAGTGAGGAGGAATCAGGCGAGGCCCTGGCAAGGGGTCCTGGCTGGACTGGGGCCCTGCACCTCATACTCCTGCTTGAAGCCGTAGCCCTCAGCTGTCTTCATCTGGTTGATGTGCTGCAGGAGGTCGGCCACACGCACCGCAGGATGCAGCTGCCCCGTGTGGTATGGGGAGCCCTTCCGGCCACACGGACGCTGCGGAGAGCCCCCCAGGAGGCTGCTGGCCTCAGTGACCCCACCGCTGCGCTGATCCCCTGCAGTCAGAGAAAAAGAAAGGGGTTCCTGACATACATAGGCTTCCAGCCTGAGAAGCCCCAGATGGACCTGGGGGCTGAGAGAGTCTGGCCAATGTACAGGTTGGCTGGATTGTTCGCTGGGGCCAAGCACCAGCTGGCCCCAACCTGTGTGATCCTGGGCAAGTCCCTTCCCTTCTTCTACATGTCCACTTTTCCTTGTACAATGAGCAGGTCGGATCACATGGCATCTGATGGCCCTTCTGACCCAGCCCTGCTTCCTGTGATCCTGTGGTCCCCTCACACCAGCTCACTGATTCCGAGGGCCCACCTCTGTGACTTCACTGCACGGCCTGCAGGGGGCAGCACTCAGCAGAGCCTGTGACGGCCCCCACCTCATTCCCCCTACTCAAGGAATAATCTGCAACATTGGCATCTCCCAGCAATTACCCCCATTCAAAGACAAGCAAATCCCCAAATTAGCTGCTGCCGCACCCTCTCTGCAGATTAACTCGAGGAACCTGAATAGAGGCATTTCTCCTGCGCAAGCACTTCCATTGTCAGCCTGTGCAGCAGTGTCAGCCAATCCAGGAACCAATCAGGGAACAGGCCAAGAGGTTCACAGTGCACCTCACACCCTGGGAAAACTATCCCTCCCCCTCAGAGCCACCCACTCCCCTGCTCTTCTGGTCAGCATCCCCACGGACATTCCACCCTGGTGCGTGAGACCAGGTCCTGAGATTGAAAAAACAGCCCCACTCAATCACCCACCTTCAGACACTGACTCCCACACACCACTTATCACTCATTCCCTCCTGCTATCCTGGGTAAGGTACAGGGGCTCATTCAAGACCAGGCCTCCACATTTCCCACAGCTGTTCTCTGTGGAGATCGGAACCAGTATGTACAGGTGGGCTACTCCCCGTGGGGCCTAGATGCCACCCCTGCCCTTCTCTGTGCCTTCACACATGCTGTTCCCTCTGCCTCCAACATCCTTCCCCTCCTGTTTCTGCCTGGTGAACTCATACTCATCCTTCCAATCTCAACTGAAATGATCCTCCTTCGGGAGCCTTCTCTATGGCCTGGCCTCTAATTCCCACTCATACGATTGACAGAATGAATGTAAGAGCAATGGGACAGACCCCTGCACAGTTCAACTGTCCCAAACTCCAATCCCTGTCTGCAGCCAGGGAGACTGCCGTGCCCCTTCCATGCCACAGTCTGAAAACTGCCTCCAGGTGGAAAGGCGATTTAGTCCCACGGCAGGGCTGCTCACCTTTTTCTCTTCTCCCAGGAACCACAGTCCTGAGCTGCCTGTCTCCTACTATCTGAAAACAATCACTTCGTATATTTTACCCAGATTTCTAGCCACGCACAGCTGGAGGGTAAGTCACACACTAGTTATACCATCATGGTCAGATGTCCTAAAATGTTCATTTATCAGATGGGGAAACTGAGGTCCAAAGAGGAGAGACTGGCTTAATGCAGTGGTTGCCAAGGTATGTTCCAGAAAACACTGTCCATGCCACATGACTAAGCAGTATTCCATTAAAAAGAAAAGAAGGAGGATGAGGAAGGATTCTATGCTATAAAGAGTCTGTGAAATTCTGGTTTAAACAAAAATAAGTTGGTTTTTTTCCCGGTAAGATCTCTCAGGCTTCCTACTTGCAAATGTACATTTTAAATCTCCAAGAGATGAGTGGAAATAGCAATGTTTCACCACCATCTTTCACCACGGAGAGCTTTTTCTGGTTCAGGAAACATTCTCAGGGAAACACAGTGTAATGCAGTGATTAAGAAACAGTCTCTGGAGTAAGACAGGCCTGTGATCAAATCCCAGCTCCACACGTGACCTTGGGCATGTTATGTACTCTCTCTAAATTTGTGTTTTCACATGTCAAGTGCAGAGAAAGACTGTTACCCTCCAATATGATGGTGTAAATATTAAGTAAGATAATGGTTATAAAGTACCCAGCCCAGATGCTGGCACACAGAGAGCACCTGCAAATGGAGCTGTTGACATGACTGGCAGTTTCCAGGCGAGGGAGGGGCCCTCTGAGTCCCAGAAAGCCAGGGCAGCTGGCTGACAAAAGGGAGCTTTCCTGTCTGTCCTCCACTGTAGGATCTTGGTCCAGAACCTGACAATTCTAAAGAGCATCGCCAACAGTCACACAAGCCAAGTGCAAAGATTTCTAGAAAAAGGGTTTCTGCTGGCTCAACAAACTTGGAGACAGAGGCTTCCAGCACTCTCTGAGGAAACCATGCTGACAGCTCCACGGAGCGCTCTCCAGGTGAGGAGAGGGTCAAAGCAGGGCGGCAAAGACTCTAACAGCTCATCCCAGAGACCCTGAAGGGCTGGCATCCCTGATACAGCCTCACAAGTAGGCATGGAATCAGCTTGCAATGGCCGAAGACGAGCAAAAACCCCACCTGGTTGGGATCCTGATGGGAAGCCAAAGCAAAATCTGGGGTCTTCCCACAGAGCCCGAGGAGACACAAGATATTTCACAAGGACCACCAGAAGATGACAGGATGATGAACAATGATGCTGCCAAGAGGACCTTCCATTTCCTGGGCCCAGAGCAGACAGATCCTAACCCTCCTTATCCATGAACCCCCCCTGTGGGATTTGACTCACCCTCTGTCCCTGCCCCCAGCCCCACCCCAAGGACCAGCTTGCTCACAACTAGGAGCCCCTGAAAGGAAGACGAGAGCCCATCCTCAGCTTCCAGGTCACTGCTGTGAAGTTCTCCCAGGCTCTCCCCAGCTCCATCGTGATTGCAGGACATCTTTTGCAAGTAACCACCTGACAGCCGGTGTCCCTGGGGCTCAGGCCCAGGGATGTGAACACTGGGACTGGAGTCAGAGAGACCTGAATTCAAATTCTGCCTCAAGTCACTTGACCTCCTGGGCCGCAGTTTCCTCATTTGAAAATGAGAATCCCCAGACCTTCCTCAAAGGTGGGCCCTTTGCCCAATTCCCATCCAGTCTTGGATGAAGACAGGCCCTGAGTAATATTATCTAGTAGCACCCTAAAATTGTCCTTCACTGGTTGCAATTAGCAAATAACTTCAAGGAAACAGCCCATAATAACAGCTAGCAATAACAATATAATATGTAACATATTGAATGTTTTCATATGCCTGGCATGATTTTTAAGTCACTTAATCCTCAGAATATCCCTATGATGTGGGCACTGTTGTTACCTCCATAAATGAGGAAACTGAGGGGTTCAGTTACTTGGTCATTAAGAGGCAGCACTGGGACTCAAACCCAGGCCCATCTGATCTGCAGTCCTGCTGGACCCCTGCTTTCTCTGTTTCCTTCTTTCTGATGAAGGAACATTTGTGGTGATGAAAAACCAGGCACTTAACTTGACAAGCCACATGCATGAGCCCACTGGCACCCACAGGGGTCAAAAGTCAGAGGGGTCAAGAGCTCCAGACAGACAGGGCCCAGAAGGATTTGAGGGGTTTCAGAGGCACGATTTCAGAGACAGTGGGGGCACACTCCCACGTGCTGGGAACATCCCAGCTGGCTTCTTCACAGCTAGCCTGCCACCATTTACTCAGCATGAGAAGTCTCTATTTTAAAACTGGCACAATAAGGCTGCATTAGGATCACCTTGGCTTTCTGTCCTAAACTACAAGTCTGGCCTCCACTGTCTGGAGAAGAAAAGAAAGAGGCAGAGGCAAGACCCATGTGGGGCATGGAGAAAGAGAGGGAAGGGGCTGAGACTCAGCCCAGCTCCTGAACACACCTGGAGTTTCGCAGCCATCAGCCATGTCCTGCCTTCTGCCTTCAGTGCACACTCCTCCTCACCATCAGCCCCATGGTATCAACCTCAGCCAAAACCCTGCCCACCCCTGCCCAAAGATGTACTTTCTCAAAGCCCGGACAACACTACTTGCCCACTCCATCCACATGGCAGTTCCCCTGGGCCTGACTTTGCTGATTCAGTCTTATCTCCACAGCTGGTCAGTAAGTCCCCTGGGAGCACAGACCATGTTTCCTGCCTCTCTGAATCACTCGACAGGACTCAACAGCAAGGCTGCGCCCACACCACCCTCACCTCCCACTCTCCCCACAGCCCACTTGAGTTTTCAGCCCACTCAGACCTCTCCAAGTTTTTTTCTCCTGTGGCACCTCTGTGCATTTGCACATGCTGTTCCACACCCATCAATATGCTTTCTTCCCCATGTTCAAAATCTAGCCCATTCTTCAAGGCCTAGCATAATACAGTAGAGACAGCAATTTGCAATTCAGAAAGACCTGCATTTAATCCTTGCTAGACACCTGACTTCCCCTCACAGAGCCTCTCTGTTTCCTCATTTGTAAAACAAAGAGTTAAAAATAGCTTCCATATGGGCACTGGTAAAAATTTAATGAGGGAGATCACAAAGAGTACATGATAAATAAGTGCATGTCAATGAATTTGAAAACTTAAATGAAATGGACAAACTCCTAAACAACTGCAACTTACAGAAAGTGGCTTGCAAAAAAAAAAATAGCTTAGATAGTCCTTTACTCCTTTAAATAACTGAATAAAAAGTTTAAAATTTTTCCCTAAAGAAAACAAGAGCAACAGAATGTTTTACTTTCAAAGTGTCAATTATTAAGAGAAGGGACCTCAATGCATTTTATAAGACTAAAAGAATATTGATACCAGAAACCAGAGAATAGTACAAAAAGACAAATTAAAGGCTAATCCTACTCAGGAATACAGATTAAAATCTTGAACAACATTATAAGCATACTGAATCCAACAATATATAAAAAATATAAGTATCATGACCAAGTTGAATGCATCCCAGGAACTGAAGGTTATTTTAACATTAGAAAATGTAAAAATGTCACTCACCTCATTAACAAACTAATGGGAAATGGCAAGTACAGAAAAAAAGCATTGACAAGTTTAATGTCTGTTTAAAAAACCTCTTGGCAAACTAAAAGCTGAAAGGAACTTTGTTAATCTGATAAAACATTTCTACCAAAAATTATAGCAAATTTCATTCTGGATG